ATGAAAAGCTTTTGTGTTGTATAATCGTCGATTCGATCGATCATCTCATTTCTATTAGGAAAGATGTCGATCTAAGAAAAAGGAAAAGAGATAGATAAAGTGAGAGAGAGACAGAGAGAGAGAAGAAAGAGAGAAAAAAATCTTTCCCTTGACTACTCTCCAGTTATTAGATCGAGAACAGATATGAAGACAGATGAGGACTGATTTGAATATAAATGGGGGGAACGGAGGTTAATTGAGTGCCCAATGAAGAAATCAAGAAATTATTTCGTGACCAACAACGTCCTTTCTCTATCCCTTTCTACCTATCTTTTTCTACTTCTTGTTATCTCAATCTGTCTCTCTCTCTCTCTCTCTCTCTCTCTCTCTCTCTCTCTCTCTTTCGCTCTTTCGCTCTTTCTTTTTCTTCTTTTCCATTACGGACAAAAACGTTTCCATCCGGAAAATGTCGAGATCGGACGATAATAAGGGGAACGACTTTCGGAAAAAGGATCACTTTGGAAAGACTGTAATTATCTGGCGTAATTAGACGACAAATTCTCTGTTTTTTCTTCTTTATGGTGTCACCTTCCCTATTCACGTTTGTTTTTTTCCTCTTCTTATCATTATCTTTTCAATGTTCTTATTCCTATTTCACGGTGTGCTACCTTACAAGAAAGATTGAAATATAAAACTAGAAAAGTCGATTTCGAAATTGTACTCTTGAGATAACACGCTTGGAAATTTCTCCATTTCGTTTTCCTGTTTAGTATGAACATAGGAGAAGAAATAGGAGTGCCCTTTGAAATGCTACGAAGAGAGATAGGAAAGAAATGGAAGCGTCACGGGTGCGACTATGATCGATTGGATGTTGAATGAAAAACAACGACAAAAAAAAAGAAAAAAAAAAGAGAGAAAAAAAAAAGAGAGAAAAAAAAAGAGAAAAAAGAGAGAAAGAAGGGGGAAGAAAAAAACAATCAAGGAGGAATCGATATAAAACTGTTAGTTGAAACGAACGAACGATCGATTATTAGGATCGCAACTTTGTCCTTATGGCTTATTTGATGTAATAATCGAGGAATGAATAACGAAAGAGTTGCTCTTTGTGTAGACACTCTCATGGATATGCATATGTATTTGTATTCATGAACACATATATACACGTCCCGCCTCATATAAAGCAGTAACACCGAACGTAGTAATAAATTGCAAAACGGCAATACTTTTATCGTCCATTTTACGAGAGGTTCGCTCTTTTGGCCGTAACTTCGTTTTCGAATCCGACGGGACTATAAAGATAAATTAAGTATGGTTCGAAGGTAAATGGACGCAGGAAAGCGTCCAACGTTCTCGGCGAGGTCATTAAAAAAATTTAACTTGAAAAAAATGTACGTAAACGAATTTGAAAAAAAAAAGAAGAAAAAAAAAGAAGAAAGGTAAATAAATTTGTATATTAAAGGAGGGTACATTTATGTAATAAGAAAAAAAGGGGGAAAAGGAAAAGAAAAAGAAAAAGAAAACGAAAAAGAAAAAGAAAAGGAAAAAAAAAAAAAGAAGAAACCTGGAAAAAATGGAGCAATTTTGTAAGTTTAACAAAAGGAAACTTTAATAATCTTTTATGCTGTTTGTTCCTTTTTATAAAGAAATACTTTTGCACACAATTCATAAGCAATGAAAAACAGCCAGGCGTTCTTATTTAAATGTCTCGCTACCTGTTATAATGTAGTTGCATTTCATTCGTTTCTCTTGAATAGAGCCGAGAACTTGCCGAGAAACGTTTGACTTCTTCGCGATGATGAATTTTTAAAAAGTATTCCGTCTCAACAGGTTTGCTCGCCATTCCCATCGACATCTCTCTCTCTCTCTCTCCCTCTCTCTCTTTTTTCTTTCTAACATACACACACACACACACACACATACATACATACATACATACATACATACACAGACACATACACATGTATATGTACTTTCTTTGACTCTGCAAACGAGTCGAAGGACCGCTCGTTTTTCTTTTCGTATCGCTAACGCCTCATCGTTATTTTCCTTTTTGCTTTCAGCTCCAGGTCGAGGACAGGATCAAGAACGAGGTCGATCGTAATCTGCCTTACACTGTTACTAACAATGGAAGCGAGGAGCATAGAGGGTACGAACATGACAAACGCGTCCTCCTCCTCCTCCTCCTCCTCCTCTTCCTCCTCTTCGTCTTCGTCATCGTCCTCCTCCTCGTCCTCGTCGTCGTCGTCGTCGTCGTCATCATCCTCATCCTTGTCATCGTCGTCCTCCTCCTCGTCGGCTGTGTCGACGTTAAAGCCGATTACAACGACGGAAGTAGTTTATCAACGATTCGCCATCGAGCCAATGGATCAAACCGCGGTGGTCGGTAGTAGAGTAACACTTCCTTGCCGAGTTCTTGATCAAAAGGGACCGATTCAATGGACGAAGGACGATTTTGGACTTGGTGCTGTTAGGAATCTCACTGGATACGAACGTTACGCTATGATCGGTAGCGACGAAGAGGGTGAGTCTTTTGAGAATTCTATTTATCTTAACGAAAATTCTCTCTCTCTATCTCTCTCTCTCTCTTTATCGCTCTATTTCTCTTTCTCTCTCTATTCTATTTCTATTTGCTGATCCATTCTCTTGGCTCGCTTTCATTGACAGTCAGAAAAGCGAGAATAAAGAAAAATAAACTAGACGAGATCGCGAGGGACATCGTTAACATACTTTTATCGATTCTCCAGTCTGAATAATAGTTCGTTCTATATAGTAAGGGTAGAAGCTTTCGTAGTTACGTTCCCATTCTCTTTCTCGTATATCTCGCTCGAATGAAATTAATTACAAGTCCGCGGTAGCAGCGTTTCGTTTGCTCGTCAAAGAACGAACGATCTCGCGTTGGAAAAAGTAAACTTTTGTCACCCCTCTTTCTCTCTTTGTTTTTGTTTCTATCTTCCTCTTTTTCTCTCTTTCTCTCTCTCTCTCTCTCTCTCTCTCTCTCTCTCTCTCTCTCTCTCTCTATCTGTCTGTCTATCTATCTATCTATCTATCTATTTCTCTCTTTCTATCTTTCCATATCTGATTGTATGAGTCGTCTATGTATTTACCGATCGACGAACTCATTCCCTTCTTCTTTTAACCAACGAGAATACGATTTTATTAAAACTGTTCCCACTGCTTTTCGACGAACAACCGACCACTTGTCTTCACGGCGAAATTCAATTTCCTGCGGCGTGCCGTGGTCTCATTTCTCTTTCTCTCTCTCTCTCTCTCTCTCTCTCTCTCTCTCTCTCTCTCTCTCTCTCTCTCCCTCTTTCTTCCCACTTGCTCTCATTCTGTTCTTTCTTTTTTTCTTTCTTCACCGAAAGAATCCAATCGAAGTCATCGTGCGTGTCCTCGTCGCGGCGGAGCCGCAACAAAATATTTTATGTCGTTTACCATCGTTGTGCTCGTTTCGTAAGCCAATCGAATCTAGCACGATTCGTTGATACGATACTATACTTTCTTCTCTTTTTCTCCTTTTTTTATTTCTTCTTTTTTTTCTTTTTCTTTCGTCTTCTTCTTCTTGTATTTTTTTTTCTTCTTTTTTTTTCCCCCCCTTTAAAACTTGATTGCCGAGCCAATTTCGTTTAAATCGTTACATACGTTATACTCTCGAAGGAACGTTTCGAATCGAAAAGTTATACGACAATGTTATATGCACATGTATCGATAATAAAAGAAGAGATGATTATGATCATATTTGATATTTCTACGTCGAATTATTGTGTTCGTTTTTCCCATGATAAAATAAGAAAAGTATTATTAGATCCTTGAAGATCAACCGTTTTCCATAATTTAGCAGTCTTAGAAATCGTTTCCTTTTACCTACCCTGATGTTCGTACAACGTCAAAATCTCAATTAATCTTATAAACTTTTCGTTGGAAGCGTACTTGCTATCGTTACTTAGCAAAGGACGCGAATTTTCGCTCGAACGACTCTTTGAATCGATTAAGAAGTCTTCAAGTTTTCAAATTCAACTTCTCTACGACGTTGTAAAAGCGAAACGATAAGTAAGCGTGTGTCGTTATCTTCGTCCAAGCATCTCGAATTGTTCGCGTGACACGTAGATAATTAACGAACACGTAATATCCATATTATATGATATATAGGTTAACGTCATTCGAATTCAGAGACAGCAACTGAGATAACTACGTAGCTAGATACTCCAGAGATTTCTACCGGGTCTAGGATTAAAAAGGATTATATGTCGAAATCGTTGAATTATGCGATCGGCCATTTTGAAATCAGAGAAACACGAAAATTTATATATGTAGATTTGCATGTATATAGTTATACAAGTATAACATCATTAATTATCTTTATATCGAATATTTTTAATTCTTGAATTCTTTTTAATCCAGACACCATTTAGTTTCGAATTCCGTTGATACGTCGTATTAAACAAATGTTAATTATTTCGAGTGAAAAGAATGATCGTCGAATAAATTTTGTCTAAATTCTCTTTGACATAGATACGCTCACGCTTATTATATATGTTTGCATATGTAAAAAGGTTTTATCAAACTCTGACGTATAATTTCTTGAAATGATATACGACTCAGTTGACCCATAGAATTTCTTAGAAAATAAAAATTAGCCGTCATAGAGAGAAGGATATAAATCTGAATAAATAAAGATAAATTCGATACTATTGGATTTTTCTGTGAAAATATTTATACATTAAGTTTTTCTTTCTTTCTTTCTTTCTTTCTTTTTTTTTTTTTTTTTTTACAAAAGTTAAATTTACTTAATTAAATTTTCTTCTTCTTAATTTATAAATCGATATAACTTTAAAGATAAATAGTTAATTTAATAAACGAAAATTAAAAATTGAAATAGATATTTTCGATATATTCCGAACGTTTAAATGAATAAATGTATTGCGCGCGTTCGAGATATGATATAATTCGCATATGATCGAGCCGCGTGATAGAACGAACGTTTAATGCTTCCGACTTACATTAATGCGTAACACAAGCTTCAAAATTTCGTGGCTTCCTTTGATATGCACTAACACGTGCATGTACAGTTTACGTAGTCCTCGATCGAAGTGATTGCTTGAATTGTAACTTAATTGCTTTCCAATTACGCGTAATTAACTGCGCTTTCCGCAGATAATTCTATATTTGACTCTGGCTTAAATGATATGTTATTCGGCAATGCGATCGGAACGACACGATAAAATTTCATTTCGGCATATAGGAAGGACGATTTTACATGCAGAATTATGACTTTAAATAGCATCAATCACGAGCAATTTGAAATTTAATCCAATTTGGTACGACTCCGTACCGAGCAATTGTACGATTTTTTCGTACCACGTTTTCATTAATTCGTCATTGAAAGAGTCGAAATGGTGGACAGAGTCAATTGGACTAATAAAAAATAAAAATAAAAATTCTCGTGGTTCACGAAGTTAAGATCTTTGACTAATGATAAGGTTTAACATCGTAAAGGTACATTAAAGTTTGCGTTCTATCGATAGGGAAGCTTTTGAAAGAGAGTAAATCCGTTTCACCACGCTAGAAACCACAACTAAGACATCGTAAGTGTTAACCAACCTTTGAACATTTACTATATCAAAATTTTCAAACTTTCCAAATTCTATGATTACGATTAATCAAAGAAAAAAGTGGTAACAATTTTTAAAGAAAATATCATCAAAGGAAAAAAGAAAAAACGTGAAACGTTCGATTCGTTCTATTTCCCAATAAAAGCTATGTAAAGAAGAAAAAGAATAGAAAGAGAGAGAGAAAGAGAGAGAGAGAGAGAGAGAGAGAGAGAGAGAGAGAGAGAAAGTGAGAGAGAGAAAAGAAAAGAGAGGATAGAGAGACATGCAGAGGTGGTAGCAGTAACGCTTTGCACAGTACTGCTCGTTGTAGAATATGTGCTACAGGCGATATCGGAGTTTTCGTCGATCGCACATGACTCGTCGTTTCTATTTGTTTTTCAGCTATTCCAGGCCGTGAGGATTAGCCTCGTGAGGCGATAGACCGATTCGATAGTATCCTATATCGATATTTTCTCTCTTTCTCTCTCTCTCTCTCTCTCTCTCTCTCTCTCTCTGTCTCTTTCTGGCACGTTTGCATCGTACAAATCGTATGGTGCAATCACACAGACTTATACAATATCAGACTGCTTTCGGAAACGATAAGGCTCAAATTTTTCGACGCCATTTTCAATTTGGTAAATAGTTATTTGTTTACTTACTAATAAATAAGATTTAGTTGGAATCTGTTAACGATATATCGATTTTATAATTATTATTATTGCTTGATCCACGTAGTTAATATATACGTATATATATTTATATATGTATGTATGTATATGTACATATATATATAAAAACATTGGCGGACGAAATAATATGGCCGATATATCAGTGAATTTGAATAACCTTCGAAACAACGTACGCAATGTTTAATCAATAGCATTAAATATCGGAGCTGGAAAGCCATCGATAATTTAACTGATAATTCGTGGCACAGTTCTCGATGTCCCCAGAACCAATGTTCCACATTATACTTCGTAGCTTTGAAATATTATTCCTATAGTTTTCCAACATCGTGCAAATGAGTTTCCAGAGCTCGGCAAAGTTCACAACGTTTTGTGCAACTTCGTAGGTGAATTCCAAATAGCATCGATACGAGAGAGAGAGAGAGAGAGAGAGAGAGAGAGAGAGAGAGAGAGAGAGAGAGAGAGAAGGGAGGGAGATAGAAACGTATGTACATATGTATGCATACGATTGGAGCAAATATTTGAGAACAAGTTACCACGTCGAGAGAACACTCGAAAAATGTCTACATGGTACGGTCAATCAGGAAAACGGTATCTATGAACGTTGAAATGAGTCAATAAAATATCTCGGGGATCTTTGATAATTACTCTTTAATTATACTTTAAAAATTTATCATGAACATTCAATCCAATCGATAAACGCAGTGTGAATTAACCGTGTATCAGAGTACATAAAAGCGTTAGAGAAATTTAGCAGAAAAAGCGTTTCACGCCGCAAGCTTGGTTGGCCATTTTACTTGCTTGCCAGAACGTCAACGAACATTTAATTTTCCATAATAGAAATTATATTTGACAACGTAATAGAGCGGTTACTCTCTCGTTCCATTCTCTTCTCATAGTTTAGAAATTGAAGAGGGAGAGAGAGAGAGAGAGAGAGAGAGAGCAAGAGAGATAAGAGGAAAGATGAAAAGAGGATAAATCGATGACTCTCGAGATCGTAAATCGTAAGATACTCGACGGACAATGCCGAGGAAATCGTATAAATTCGCATAAAAACACGGCACTCTTCCTTGCTTGAACGCTTTTTCGAATCTTTCGACTCATCATTTTTTCGCAACAATAGCGTTGTAAGCTTACAATATGGTTGAGATTAAATTTCTCTCTTGGTCTTGAGTTATATCGTCCATTTCTACGGGGTAGGTTCTCCGAACGGCTAGGTAAAAGGGCATCATCTCTAAAACGGT